CGCGGGGGGGGGGGGAGAAAGATGAAAATATAGAAAGAACAAGGTCCCTAGTGTGACCTCAGCTTGTACGTAAGTCAAGTTTATTTCCGAAAGGTGGTGTAGACTAACTCCATAATAGAAAGCGTAGATGGAGACGAAATCACACAAAACACACACATATACGAGCGTTGCATCCTTGAACGATGAGCGGTTAAGTGGTGCATGGTTGTACTGTTCGTTTGATCGACGAATGGTTGTCGCAGTGGACGCCATCCTATCGACAACGCTCGTTCCTTGGGAAAGTAAAGAAAGAGAGAGAGAGAGAGAGAGAAGGGGGGGGGGGGGGGGGGGGCAGCGCAACTTGCTGCCTCTGGGTAGTCGTGTCTGTCTGTCTTGTGTGGAGCTTTGACCGGCATCTATCTTGGCAGCAAGCATTCATTACGTATAGTGGGTGAACTCGCCGGCGGTATCCCGTGTCTCGTTGTCGAGTCTCCTGGCCGCCGATGTTCATCCGATGTTAGTGATCGCTGGCTGCTGTGCCTTGTATCGCGATTTATTTTTTTGTGTGACTTGCTGACACTGGCGTCAACACAGCAGGACAGCAAAAGTAGTGCTTGGGGACGGGATGCGAGGGGAAATTGTCGGGTGTCGAGATTGATTGTGCACGGTTCCAAACAAGACACAACATCCAACCACGAGGTGCAAAAAGAAAATAAATAGCCCCTCAGATCGACGAGGAGGGCAAACGGTCTGCCCCAATACCGTAGGCACCACAAAGAACGACGGGGCGACTTCACAGTACAGTACACCAAATGCTTTTCGTTCGACAGCGCGGCGTCCGTCTGTTGCGCGCTTTGCTCGTCTACCCCGTTGGGCATAAACTTTTTCTAAGACGACCCTCGAGCACACACGAGCCGCCAGAACTGTGAGCGCATTCTTGGCTAGAACCAGATCAAACATGAACATAAACTGTACACAGCAGCAGCAGCAGCGGCAGCGGTTGCTGCAAATCAGAGAAAATGCGTCACAAAGTGAGGAGCGCGCTTGCTTGCAATCGAACGAATAACATTTTCACATGTGCGAGTTGGGCGCGTCCGCCCCCGACCCCTGCCGACAGACCTCAGATTCCTCTGCGACACTCCCGGCTCAGCCCACGTCTCTCCTGTAAACCGTAGAATACACGTTGCAATACCGAATAATGAATCTTGAGTTTCACCCTTTTCTCGTTTACCTAACAATGAAACAGAAAAAAAAATCATCCAATTTCCGTGGATTTGAAGTCGAGGACAAAAAAACAGCGACGATTTCACACCGGGTATACATATGATCCACCGGTGGTTCTCAAGAGAAAAGTAGTGCTCTCGCCCTTGATTGCTCCGCCAACAGCACCCGAACGGGCACCCCAAAGGTGCGTAAATGGGAACCGAGCGGGGAAACAAAGCATGGGATCCCCGAAACGACAAGATGAAACACTCGCGAACCAACGAACCGGCCGGGTAGGGAGACAAAAACAGGCGAGGTGAACTCCAAACGCGACGATGGCGAGAACAATCTCACTCGTAATCTCCGCAGCCCTCTGGCCCTCCCTGACTCTGATGCATCGCATCGGGGCTCTCGACAACAGAGCAGGCCCGGTCCAAGCAGAACCAAGCGCCCGACCAAACGTCGCCTAGTAGAGCTTGGACACGAGAGCCGTCGTCAAAAATGTCACATTCATCCATCATGCTTGCAGCCCCCCCCCCCCCCCGCCTCGATCAGCACTCAAGTGCTCAGCTGCTTCCTCCAACAACGAGAAGACGCTGACGAGGGCGCTAATACCGCCGCCCAGAACCGAATAAACCATACACCAACACCAAGACCCCAGCGACACCAAACTCAGAGGTGCAAGCCAAGCAAACATTAGGCTCCCTCGTCACGTCACGCTCCCGCTGTTCATGATTTTTTTTCGCCGCGCCTTCCCGCCTTTGCTTATCGAAGAAAAACAAAAAAGAAGGTACGACAAGAGTTCCGGGAGGCACTAAAAAAGCTTCGGAGAGTGGAAGAGGCGGCCGTGTTCGAGGCTCACCCCTGAGTGTGCGTGAAACATACATACAGCGACGGGGAGGGGGGGGGGGCGCAGCCTTGGAACAACAGCCAAGCCTTGCCTAGCAAAGACAAAACGTTACTATTGGCGTTGGTTTCTCGAGGTGTTTCCAGGAAAAACGTACAGCCCTCCATCACGCATGTACGTACAACTATCTTCGGCGTTGCACAGAACACGACCATGATCCTTTGGAGGCGCGAACGGCGACAACATCAAACCACTCATGAAAAAAAAAGCACGACTTGGTACTTGAGTTTAGGCCTGGCGTCGGGGTGGGGGCAACGGCCTCACGCCAGCGTACCCCGTCAGGGCCGACACCCTGGTCGCCATCTCGGGGTCCTTGTGGTAGTACTCCACGCTCTCCCGCAGGGCGGCCGCGCGTACCCCCATCCTGTGCACCCCTCCGCCGTCCGCCGTCGACACCACCACCAGGTCCCCCACGTCCGGGTCCACCTCCGCCTCGATCAGCGGGGCCCGGCACGCCTGCGCGCGCGCCAGCTCGGCCCCGGTCACCACGTCCAGAACGAGCAGCAGCCCGTGGCACCCGACCAAGAAAACGACGTTCGTGTTCTCGCTCCACTGCCGCAGGAACACGGGGGGGGACACGAGCGGCGGCGCCTCTCCCGTCGCCGCACCCTCCCCTAACCCCCCTCGTTCCCGGCCGTCGGCCCCCACCACGCGGTACGAGCACGAGCCCCTCAGGTCGCCGTCGGCGATTACGTGGGTCGTGGCGATGAGCCAGCCCTCACCCAGCTCGGACAGCCTCTCGAAATCCTCGGCGCCCTCCGCCTGCGCCAGCGAGCGGTCCAGGTCCAGCACGCGGAGCTCCGTCGCGCCCCCTTCCCCTCTCACCACCAGGCCGAGAAGGTTCAGCGGCGGGCTCGACCCGGGCATGGTCATGAGCGACGCCCCGAGGACCTCGAACTCGAACGTCGTGCCCCTCTCGAAGCTGTGCAAGTCCACCTTTACGGGGCCCCCACCACCCTCAATCCCGCTGCTGTGGCTCCCGTAGCCGTTCCCCAGGGCGCCGCTCCCGCCCCCGCCCCCGCCCCCCCAGTCGCTGTCGACGACGGCGCACAGCAGCAGCCCCCACCGCCCGTCCGCCGAGGCCTGGTAGTCGTACACCCGGTGCAGCGTGTCCGGCCGCGTCAGCGTCCGCCGTCGCGCGAACGCCTGCCTGGGTCTCCGAGAGCGCGCCGCCGACTCCCTCTCGTTAGCGGCGGCGTCTCCCGCCCCTGACACATCTCGGTCGAGCCCGCCGCCGCCGGTGGAACCATCGCGCTCCGGGCTGTTGCCTCCCATGGAGCCGTCCAAGACGCTCCAGTAAAACACCGCGCCGTCTGTCACCAGGGCCAAACTCCATGGGGACAACCATCTGAGGAGAAAGCCAAGAAGATAGGGGTGTGTGTGAAGATGGACGAGGCAAGCGGAGGGTGACAAAAACACGCACCAAGAGGTCGGAGCGTTACCAAAAGGTAGATGATCACGTGGGCACGAAAAATCACGGCTTGTTTTTCCTTTTGAGGGTTTCTGCGATGGAAATCGACGTGCACGCGAGAACAGGCCCCCCAAAAAAATATAAAACTACGATGGATGGATGCCCTTTCAATCTTGTGGCTTTGGACTCTTC